GGGAAAAAGTAAATAGTACAATTATAGACAAAAGTTAGAGAGAGATAGTGGAAAAATGTACAATGCAAGTGGATAATTTAAAGGTAAATTAGGAAGTTCAATGAATAAAGTTAAAAAAATGAGGGTATAATGGTCTTTACATACTATCCAAAAATAGAAACAGGAACAACATTTTGGGTCTCTAAAATAGGAAAACAGGAATTATATTGTGGGACGGAGGGAGTATAAATGATTCTCTTTTGTATTTTTATATTGTAAGAAAACAAAAAGTGGGGGTGGTGGGGGTAGTGAGGAGAGAGAAAATGTAGGATTAATTGGTTTTTGAGGTTTGTGGTCCCAAAGAGAGTATAAGAAAATATTTTTTTATTAGTGGGCCTATTCCATATTTAGTAATGTGTCAAGTATTTTGGGACAGACGAAAATGGTAAATGTGTCAAGTATTATGAGACGGAGGGAGTATGTGCTAGTCAAAGTGTTGCGATTATTAGGAAACAAAAGGAGTACTTAGGAGGCCAGATGGCCAACTGTAGAACACATCTACATGAGAACAATCTATACTACATCCGTTACATGTTATGTGCAACATTTTCCAAAAAATGGAAGTGTTAGTTGAGACGAACTACTACAAGAGGGGGGTGAATTGTAGTGAATTCCTAGTGACTACTTTTTGTGGAATAATAAAACAGAATATAGCAGGAACTTGCAATGGACACAGGATTTTACGAGGAAACCTTCTAGGACCCAATTGGAAGTAAAACCTCGACCCTCCAAGGGATTTTAACCAAACCAATCCACTATCATAGGGCAACACACCTAGTTACAATCTATTACTCACAGACTTTACTCACAAGTTCCAGAACGAACTTGCTACACAGTAGAACCCTATTCTACCCAACTTAAGTCCCTGACTTAAGTTCACCCACACTCCTAGAGTACTCACAACTCAACTTCAACCTTGAAGCCTACAAACTGTATGCAATATGCTAAACACTCACCCAATACCCAAAACAATATAAACGATTGACAACTCTAATATGTGATTGGAAAGCTATACACATGAAATCCGAAACTAAAATGACAAAGCTATGATCTTGACAAACTTACTTTTAAGCACTCTTTAGATTTTCGCGCATAAACTTACACGTTATTTCAATTATAATCTCTTCTTTATATTCAAGAAACAAAACTCTTGTATGTAAAGTTGGGTTTTCAAAAAATAGAATCTCTACTGCCGTTTTACAAAATCAATCATGAAATAAATCTTTTAAGAAAATCTTTTAGAAAACTTAACAAAGATGTAATTTAGAAAAAAATTATTATTTTGCAAACCAAATTTTATAAGATAAAATCTCTCAAAGTTCTTTTCCTAAATCTAAAACTTATCTTTTTTTTAAGACTTTCCATATTTATAAAGCTTGCCAAGCTTTGCCACACTTCTAATAGATTTCATGCATAAACAAAACAAACATATTTACAACAATTCTAATAAAAATAAACTTATTAAAATCTTAACAAAAAGACTCTAAGTATACAGCTAAATTGCCTCCTCAGCTTCGCATTATATGAATACTTGGGCTCTACGTAGACCAGGACTGAGTTCCTACCGTTTTCAACTCTCCAGCTCCTTGCTGGAACTCATAGACCAAGTTATTGTGGAACTTGCTGTCTTCAACACAGTCAATGCAGTCCAAGCTATATTTCTTAGCTTGCTGTCCAGCTCCTATTAGGAAGCTTCTCTTCGTGTTTCTGTTAGGGATCACTTCTAGTTTCAATGAGTAACTCTTCTTCAGTTCTCTTTATCTTTCCTTTATTTCTCCTTGGATTTTCATAGATAGGTTACTCTTCCACTTCTAAAGTCAACTTCACCTATTCTAATTCAATACTTAGAGAAATCGCATTAGTTGAAGTTTGCCTATTCTCATCATCATCAAAACCTCTTAAGGTTCAACAGGAAGCTAAATATTATCTATAACAAACCAAAAGTTTCCTTTTTTAACAAACTTTTTAAAATGAAATTAACAAAACAAACCCTTACTGAAATACAATTAACACAATAAATCATATTTTATCAACTCATTAACCTAACTGAATCATCCATCATTACAATCATAACCTACATTCTCTCTCCTTCCTCAAAGCCACATCCACCCCCAACACCACCACGTTTTCTCTCCCCTTCCTCTCAGCCACCACCACTTTTCTCTCTCTTCTCTCTTATCTCACAACCACCACATTGCCACCACCATCCAGATCAAGTCACCGCCCCACTTCTTTTCAGGTCACTGCCTTGTTTTTAGTGAGAGTCGCCGTCACTTTCTCTTTCCCTTCGTTAGAGTCGTCACCACTTTCTCTTACCCCTTGTTAGGGTCGCCGTCACTTTCTCTTCCCTTGTTAAAGTTGTTGCCCTTCCTCGAAATTGAAAACCTAGAAAAGAGAATTTGAGATTGAGTTTGAAAACTAAAATCTAAAACAAAAATGGTGAAAGATGGGAGGAAAGGAGCGAGGGTGGTTACAGGGTAAGTGTTGGGTAGCTTCGCGGTGTGGATGCGAGTTGGGTGGGATGGGTTTCAAATCTTAATGTTGGTGAGAGGGTGGTTAGGGCGGGGCTATGTTTCAGGTAAGTAAGAGATTGTGGGTTTTTAGATCTTGGTGGTAGTGGGGTGGGTTGGTATGGTGGCTTCAGGGGTTAGGGTGGTGTAAGTAAGGTGGTGGTTGTTTGCGGTTGTTGTCGCTGGTCGTGCGTGAGTGTGAAGTGGGCTGTTGTGGTGGTTGTGGTGGCGTGGCTGTGTAGTGGTTGCTGCTTGCGGTTGTGTGGGTGGTGCATGTGAGTGGTGGTGGTGGTGCAGTAGGTGGTAGTGATGGTGGGGGTGGAACTTCTTCATTTACTTTTGCTAATTAGCTTTTTCATTTTTTTTCTTGGGAAATGTGCAACCCCTTTTGTTGCACTTTACATGTAACAGAGACAATACTTATAAATACACCCATTTATATTCGGTTAATTCGGTTCTAAATAAAAAATTTCAGTCCAAACAATTCAAAGCCATTTAAAATTCAAGCATGATTCAAGTTAATACTCGTACTACTTATTTCGATTGGGATTGGATTGAATAGATTTTAATCCAAATACTCTCTCCGTGTTTTAATAAGTGTTATACTTTCTTTATTTGGCAAATAGCTACATTTTAAAACAATATATTTCTCCTTTCATGGTCCTCACCCAAACCCACTACAACTATTTTTTTTTTATTATTTCTTTACCCCCACATTCATTACTTTTCAATAAACAATTAACCCCACTATATTTCTTTTACAATTTTTTAATACTCCAATTATCCTAGAGGTGATCATTATCGACCCGGTCCGAAAGTAGGGTGGGTTTGAACAAGTCTAAATTTTTAGTTAAAAGTCCGAATCCGGTCCGAAAAAAGCCGAAAAAGCCCACAAGCCCGCTACTTTTTTGCGGGTTTGGGCACGACATATCATGTAAAGGCCCGGCCCGACCGGACTTTTTGATCACCTCTAAATTATCCCACTCACCTTTTGTTTTATTTAAAGGAAAATTGTAAACTAATAATCCCACCTTTAGGTGGTCTTCCACAAACAATCCCACCTTTCTAAAATCCAGAAACAATCCCACCTATTCCCCCTATCTTCCATTAACGATCCTTTTTACAGGTTACCCCTTAAACCGGTGAACCTATTCTATTTCCCTCCCTAAAGTCTTTCTTCTCCAACGGTTTTCCCCCAAAAAAAACATAAGTTTCGCCATTTTTATGAAACAAAGTAACAATTAAAAAAAAAAAAAATTAACTTTCAGAAACTTATCTTCATCGAAAGGACATAAAAAAAATAAAAAATCTCTGAAAAATCTCCATATTCTCTGAAATTCTTCTGCAAAACAAAGGAATCCTATCAAGAATTAATCAAAGAAGCTAATTCAAACAGTTGAAGCCAGAAAACAGGTAATTGATTAACATCCCATATCTTTCGTTAGTTGCCCAATTTAATGAGTAGAAATCCAATTGTTCGGGTAATTGCTGCTGATTATATATTCAATTATTCATTTAATTGTTCAATTGTTGTATGCGACAGTGAATAGTACCCAAAATTGAGAACTAGGGTTTACGAAAATTAAATTGGGGATTTGTTGAGTAATACCTAATATTGGAAATTAATCAAACTTGTTAGGTATGTATGAGTTGAATGATTGTCAGAATTTCTTTGGTTTCAATTGTAGGTGATATAATGACTCTGATAACCTTATCAACCTCCAACACAAAAGAAATGTAAGTGTGGAGTACACTTGCCAAGCTTACTTCATGGACTCCAGAGAATCCTGGGCGCAAGTTTAGAGCATGCAAGTTCTATGATCCAACAACTGAAACCAGAGGGTGCAAAAGCTTTCATTGGGTGGATGAAGACGATGGAACAGCGGGAGAAGAAATTCAATACTAAGGCTTGGAGTAGGCAGAGCATTAACTTTCAGAAACTTATGAAGAAAGATGAAGAAAGATGAAAAAATTAATTGATGGGGGGGGCAATTTATAAAATTCTCAGAGAAGAACAGGGGAGAAGGCATTAATGGTGTATAAGCTTTTTAACGGTTGGAAATTAAATTAGAAGAAACCGGTTGTTCTAAGCAATCTAATTTTTTAACCGGTTTCAACAGGTGAAGGATCGTTAATGGAAGATAGGGGGAATAGGTGGGATTGTTTCTGGATTTTAGAAAGGTGGGATTGTTTGTGGAAGACCACCTAAAGGTGGGATTATTAGTTTACAATTTTCCTTATTTAAATCAATTAAATTGCCTAAAAGTATATGACGATCAAAGTATAACATTATTAAACTACGGAGGGAATAATTAACACCTATGTAAAACCTCAGTAACGAGTAATTGGTCTTTCAATCCGTGACCTTACGGGCTTACGGTAAGAAAATTAAAAAATTACAATCCTAAATATCCGGAAGATTTTACTCTATTCTTGTGCGAATCAATCAGAACTTCCCACGTAGCACTTCGAAAGCAGACAGTTGGTTGCCCAAATCCCCCGCCCTATCCAAAATGTCAGAAACAACCATGCCCATGGCATCAACTACACCACACAATCTCCCACACATTCTCCCATTGAAAAAACGAGGAGAGTGAAAATCCACCAAAACCTTCCACATTCTTCCATGGCCGAACCTCAATCACCACCTCCATTGAACTCACATTAATCCTTTCATCTTCAAGCTTCAGAGTTTTCTTTGATTCTGCAAAAATGGAGTATTATTGTCTCGGAGCTTCGAAGTTCGCAACAATGGCGGTTTCTCCACCATTGAACTACGATAATTTGAGGTATAAGATGATTAAACAACGCCGAAGTTTCCAGACGGTTTGCTTGTGGAGAACGAATTGTGCGAATGTTGTAGATTGTTCTAGTAGTCGTAGTAGTAGTAGGAGGAGTGGAAGTAGTGTTTTGAGGAGTGCGAATAGTGAGAGTAGTTGTGTTGTTGCGCCTGAAGATTTTGCGAATGAAGAAGATTTCATCAAAGCTGGTGGTTCTGAGCTTTTGTATGTTCAAATGCAGCAGACTAAAGTTATGGAAAGTCAGTCCAAAATTTCTGATAAGGTTTAGTGTTTTGGAATCTGTCTTATGCAATTAATGTTGATTTTGAAGTTGAAATTTCTTTTATAATCGTGTTTATGTTGTTTATTTGTTGATTAAATGATGAGAATCATGAATATTGATTGGTAGAATCAAATGAATTTATGTTTGACTGTTGTAATTTGTTGCATTTTGTTGCCAATTAGTAAATTTCGATGGTCGAAAAATCGAGGTTTAAGGTTCTTTAGTTCGAGTTGGATTAGCATTGTTTGAATGTTGAACTTTGGTGACTCTGTTATTATGTGGTGATTTTTGAAATTTTAGGTTGTGCATTGTCTGGAAGATCATCAGTATATCTTGCTGTCGTATGTTGTTTTGAGATGTTAAATCGTACTCGATAGTCGAAAATGCGTTTTCTCAAACTCATTCGTGTTCGTTTATTTGCAGTTGCCACAAATTTCAGACGTGAATGAATTGCTGGATATGGTGGTTATTGGTTGTGGTCCAGCTGGTCTAGCATTGGCGGCAGAGACAGCTAAGTTAGGATTGAAAGTCGGTCTCGTTGGTCCTGATCTTCCTTTTACAAATAATTACGGCGTTTGGGAAGATGAATTTAGAGGTACATCTATTTTCATCCATATACTAATTCATCTTGGTCATTTGAGATGTATATATAAGAAGAGCAAAAAACAAGATTAGTCATGACTGCTCATTTTTGTGTTCTGTTTAAATTGGTTTGCTGGTTTTTTCCATATCTAATTTAGTTTTGCTAGCCAATGTATTTTTGTAAAAGATGTCACTTCCAAGTTTGAATGTAACAATACATCTTATTTCAGCATTGGGACTTGGAGGCTGTATCGAGCAGGTTTGGCGTGATACCATTGTCTATATTGATAATGATGATCCTTTATACATTGGTCGATCTTATGGAAGAGTCAGCCGACATTTACTTCACAAGGAGTTGGTGCAAAGGTAAAATAGTGCATTTGGTATTTCATTATTTGCTTGTTGGTCTTGCGATTTTGCTGCCTGATTTTATTTGCCAGCTTTATGTAGTTATGTAATTTATTAATTTTCTTAGGTGTTTGGAGTCAGGTGTCTCTTATCTGAATGCAAAAGTCGAAAGGATTATGGAAGGACCTGGTGGACATAGTCTTGTTGCTTGTGAACGCGATATCACTATTCCTTGCAGGTGCATATCTTTCTTCTTTTGTTTGTTGCAATGGAAATGTAATTTTCATACGTATTGATACCTTATGTCTTTAGGCTTGTAACGGTTGCTTCTGGAGCAGCTTCAGGGAAACTTCTAGAGTATGAAGTGGGTGGTCCAAGGGTTTGTGTACAAACAGCTTATGGTGTAGAGGTGGAGGTATGTTGTTTGTAGCTTGAGATATTGTATCGAACACAAGTTTTTTTGGGCAGATTTTATCTTTATATATGCTTGTGTGATACCCTTGTGTATTATTCTCTTCACTAATTTCAGAATTGTTTTGGAAAAAAATTAATCATTCAAACTAGAGACACATGCTTAATCTGGATTTTGAATCGCTCACTAGTTCATAGTATCCAACTTCATAAATTAATTTTTTGTAATTGTAGGTGGAAAACAGTCCTTATGATCCCAATTTGATGGTGTTTATGGACTATAGAGACTACACTAAACAGAGCTTTCAGTCGCTGGAGGCAAAATATCCAACATTCTTGTATGCAATGCCATTGTCACCGACTAGGATCTTCTTTGAGGTTAGCCTTCTATTTTCTATTTGTGTATTGTATTCTTTTCCCTCTCTCTGATAGTTGTCTCAACTCTCAAGACTTTAAATGCAGGAGACTTGCTTGGCTTCAGCAGATGCAATGCCCTTTGATCTGCTCAAGAAAAAGCTTATGACAAGATTACAAACTATGGGTGTTCGTATCATTAAAACATATGAAGAGGTATTTTCGCTGTTCATGATTACATCATAAAACTAATTTTCTTTTTAGTAGTTTGAATAGTCAAATAAATCCCATTCAAATGGTCAAACAGAGAAGAAAAGAAGGGAAATGACAATTTTTTCTTAAAAAAAAGTTGACTGCAACCTAAATGAGAAATTGTTGACCGTTTAGTCAAGGGCTAAAAATCTATAGTCATTCCCCCCTGAAATGTTTCAAAATTACTAGGTTCTAGCAGAAAAAAATGGGAGAATGAGTAAATTTCACTTCAATGGGACTATTTTAGGATATCCTATAAAGATCTAGTTTATAGCAAGATTTCTGCAAGGACTTAGTGTTTGTGTAGAATGTTTATGCCAATTATTTTGCTCTATTTTCACACTTAGCCAGTTAGCCAGCTCCAACTATCTGCTCGCTCATTTGATGTTTCTGATCTCCAGAGGCAAGAATTTGCTTCTATTTATGACATTAAACTAGCCATCACCTTTACCTACCTCACCGATCTTTTCCTAATATAGTTTCTATGTGTAAATCAATTAAGTGTAAATGTTATAGATTGGTACTTAGACAGACTAAGATGATGATTAAGAGCAGAAATTTGCTAAAAAAGATTAACTAAATGAAAACTACAGAAGAAAATGATAAGCACAAGCATTCGAGAGGCTTGTTATCTCCAAGAGTAACAAATCTAAGAAAAACTCTCACCCTTGTTCTCCATGATTTCTCACCGCTGATCTTCTCTTCATATAGCATTTCTAAGTCTAATAACTGACTAAATTCCCCAAGCTTATTGTAACAACTAATTAAGCTGCCTACATTCCCTCCCTTCCCTAGGCTAGGTTATTACAGTTAATTTGGCGTGCAGTGTAAGTGATCGTTTATAGGGGTTTTGTCCAGAATTATGGTCCATATGAAGACTTTTAGCATTTCTGTGGTTTTTATTTTCCTTTAAGACATGGAAAATGTTGTGAAATTTTACACATTTCCATTCCCTTGGTTAGAAAATAATAAACAAGAAAATTCACAATAGGGTTCCTCCATCCTTAACCTTTGTCAATTCATGATCAATTTTGAAGATTTAAAACAGCCAAGAAGGTTGAAGCGACATTCAGTTCATATGCAGTTTCTAATAATAACACCTTTACATTTGAGTGCCTGGGCCCTGCAGTTCTTTTTTCACATTAGATAATGTAACACATTTACTAAAAATCTCCTAGTAATATTTTTTGAGGGTAATGGAATATTCTATCATCTTCATGAACAGGGGGTCACAAAAACCATTTTAGGCTTTATTATAACATTGGCACCTGCATCTGCATATATTGCTTACTGTGATACCATATTCTACCTGTTAGAAACACCCATGTTACTGTTGTAATAGCCATTCTATATGATGCAGGAGTGGTCTTATATACCTGTTGGCGGGTCCTTACCAAATACAGAACAAAGAAACCTTGCATTTGGTGCTGCTGCGAGCATGGTGCATCCAGCCACAGGTAAGCCACAAGCTGGATTTCAGTTATCTTATAAAAATAATATTATTGTGTCATCTTATAAGCTATAAATATTTATGAAATTCATATGCTCTGAAGTGATGTAACTTTCATCTTCTTTGGCATTGCCACACAGGTTATTCAGTTGTGAGATCTTTGTCAGAAGCTCCAAAGTATGCTTCTGCAATTGCAAACTTGATCAAGAATGATCTCTCAAAAAATGCAATTTTGCGTCAGAGGAATGTGGAGAATATCTCAATGCAAGGTTTGTACATTCTAATTTTTAAAATGCCTTAAAATTGAATGTTTTAACTAGAATTGTATGTAGTTCAATGTAACATGAAGTTATTTTTTCGACTTTCTGTATAGATGAACTGATGTGTTTGAAAGGCTAGATCAGATAATAGAAAAAAGCCGATGCATGATTCATAAACATTATATTTCGTAGGATTATTATTGGTTGTAGTGTTTCTTTTGCAATCATTGGACATGGTTATGATTTGGCTTGATGCTTAAAGTATCTCAATTCAGGACAATGGATGACATGCCTTAATGAACACTGCTAAAGGTTCTATGAAGGTCATGATTTTCGTTAAATGTTGTATACAAGAAGTAATATTTACATCTTGTCCGCTATTAACCTTGAGAAAACTGAAAACCTATGAGGCACTCATTGAAGCTGCCTTCATTTTTTGATGGGAAAGAAAAATGAAGCACAAAATGGGGAGATTTTGTTTTCTACTTTTGCTAACATTTGTTTTTTTAATTAAATTATTTGTAGCTCGTTGGAATTAGTTACTGGTAAACCCAAATTTTCTGTTAACTTTTTCCCGTTGGTGCAGCCTGGAATACTCTTTGGCCACAAGAAAGGAAACGTCAGAGAGCGTTCTTCCTTTTTGGACTATCACTTATAGTTCAGCTTGACACTGAGGGTATCAGGACATTCTTCCAAACCTTTTTCCGAGTGCCAAAATGGTAATAGATGCATATCATGCAATCCCTATTCATTTCTCATTGCATTTGGCATTCACAGCCAATGATGTTTGCGATTTGTTAATCTTGCTTGATTAACTCTGTTTATGCCATAAACCTGTTGGAGTCATGATCATTTAACGGAGACTGATACTAAAACAGCAAAAAAACTAAAAATAACCGGTTATAGACGTGTAATCTCTTCTAATTTTTAAGCAAGGAAGAGACAATGTGATGGTTCAGCCACGAAATCTTTTATTTTTGGATTGTTTGAAATTCTTGTCTAATTCATCTAGTTGACCACAAGATCCACAACTATAAAGTCATTGAATAGATAGGAAGTATTGTCAATGCTTTCATCAACCGGAGAACTCATTTATAATCACTTATAGTTAATAATATCACTCAACTGAAATTTGGGTAATTTTGGGAGCTTAGGTGTGTCTCACTGCTTAGTGTTTTATAAATATTATAATATAAGAGGAATCAAACAGTATACAAGTAGACACCCTCCCCCCTTGTATAAGAGAAAAAGCGCATGGTCCTTGCCATTGACCAATGGTAAAAACACAGATAATTGGTGGAGATGATATTGAAATGCAAGTATATTTGATTACACTGCAGTCCTGCGTGACATAATTGAATTCAGCAATCAATGACTACTGCTGCAGAATACTTATCTTGGCAAGCTATAAGTATCAAACATTTAATCAAATAATCGTGTAGATGACACGTGCTTCACCGTGAAACATAGTCCTAACTCCTAAATGTCATTAGGATTGTCTCAGAACATAGAAAAATTTGGGCTTTTCTGTCCTGTCTGTTTGTCTGCGGGTTTACATTTACCTAAATGCTTTAAGTATTTTTAATCATACTATCCAATTGCATAAGTTGTCTCGAGCATTTCTTTAACCACCATTTTTATGTATATTTTGAGGCAGATTTTCGTGTTTCCTTTGCAGGATGTGGGAGGGATTCCTTGGTTCTAATCTCTCTTCAGCTGATCTCATATTGTTTTCCTTCTACATGTTCTTTATTGCTCCGAATGATTTGAGAATGGGTCTTATAAGGCATCTACTGTCCGATCCTACAGGAGCGACAATGATAAGAACTTACATGACACTATGACAGTAATACAGTAAGATCATCTTGGTGTAAAAAAGGTACAATGAATAAAAGGTTTTGTAGGTATGTGTCCAAACTTGTTCCTGGTTTAGAATTCATCTGTTTAGTGATCTTTGTTGAAGACCAACTGTTTAACAATTCCACAGGCTCCTCAGACCTGTGTTGCGCTCTCCATGTAACTCATCTTAGTGATCTTCGTTAAAGACCAACTTTTCTACAATTCCACTATCCACAGGCTCCTCGTATTTGTGTTGCGCCCTCTGTTCTATAATTCCACTATCCACAGGCTCCTCGGATTTGTGTTGCGCTTTCTGTTCTACAATTCCACAGGCTCCTAAGACTTGTGTTGCTCCCTCTGTAACTCGTTGATATTTGTGGGGAGTAGATGCTTTTCTTAAATGTTTGTTCATGTATATAGGTAGGCATTTTAACAATTACCTACAAATAATTCACCATCGGGTGATGGGGGCATCATCGACAGATCTGATCCGGCAGGGAGAAGAGAAAGCTACTTGTTTATTTACGAAGTAGCATGTTACAGAAAGCTGCCTATTCTGTTAAGAGCCAATTAGAAGCTTCTTTGTTATTATGGGGGCTAAAAGTTAATATTTGGCCTTATTTTTGTAATCATATTATACATTGCATGAATCATCATTGTAGAATAATTTAGATTATGGAAGATATAATTCATGTTTGCTAAGCTTGATTGACATGGTTATGGTAAGTTTAATTAAGTAAAGCAAAAGTAATAGAGCAAGTTTGACTCGATGAAGAGGGAAGAACAACCACCTGATCAAGCCATGCCCGCCTGACCGGGCGCGAGAGCAATCAAGGAAATTGCTGCTCAGCCGCCCTGTCGAGCGCGAGGACAAAGATAGAAATTCGCTGCACCACCGCCCGACAAGCTAAGATACATGGACACTTCATCCAACTTCCGTGTTCGTGTTAGACATCGATACTCGTGGGACACACGACGATACGTCTTGACCGTATCCTACTATGATATGGATTGTTCAACATTTTTTAATCAGAAAATTTAAGTAAAGTAGGATAAATAAGATAATTGATAAATAATATGGGTGCGTTCATATATTGTTCCTTGTTAATATGATACGTATGATTACTTTTTTTTTTAAAAAAAAAAAATATATTGTATGACTTTTAACATTCCGTACCTGTATCCCTTATTTTGAGATAGACGTTTTCCCGTATCCGTTTTGTACCTGTATCCGTGTTGGTACCCGTTCTTGTGCAACCAGGGCGAGCCTCCGCCCGATAGGGTGCGAGAAGCACCCAGATTTCTAGGTCACCCTCGCCTGGTAGGGTGCGAGGGTTCTTCTTGCGTTTGAGTGACGGTTTTCACTTGTTTTAGTTGCTCTCTCTATATATATACTTGTTATATATGATGATAAGACAATCAAGAAATCAGTTTTCTCACATTCTCTTTATTGTTCTTTGCAAGTTTATGTTCACTAGGAAAATCCCGCGCGCGTCCTTATTAGTGTTGTAGCTTAGTCGTTTTAAGTCGATCATCAATTATATAGGGATTATGGTGTTAGGCTATTAAACTTTAGGTATTATGAAGAATATGTATAGTGAGGTTTATGGAAATAACTATGATGGGTGAATATTTCAATTTGTTAGTTGTCTATGATGTTGCATGATGGGCTTAGGTGATCTCGTGTTTATTTTTGGAGTCCATAATGTAAGGGTATTTTTGATTAGAGGTTAGTGGCAAATGAAGTGATGTGTTTGTTGTTAAATAAAAAGTTGTGTTGTGTTATTGATGGTTCCATGGTCAATTGTAGTTGGGTTAGGTTATATGGGCTTGTTGTGGCTTAGTGGCTTACAAATGAGTATTTGGACAAATGATACTTTTAGTAAAAATTGAACTTATTATTCATGATTGGAAATGGCTATATTCTTTTTTCTTTGGAGTAATTACATTTAATTTGTATAAAGCGTATTTCTAATGATATAATTGTCATATAATGCAGAAGATTCATGGTGTTGAATGTTTTGATTGCTGCTAGAAATTTTATTTATTCTAGAGTTGAGATGTGAAGTATTGTTGGAATGATGTACTTTTTGCGGATGAGCCAATTAACAAAATGTTATTGAAGCTATAGTCGCTAATTTAGGAAAATGTGTATTTTTTGTTTAATTATCTAGACAAACTTTTGTTGTATGAATTAAATTTTCATTGACTTTTATATTGTAATATTTTGGATAGTTTTTGTTATGGTTGTTGTATATCTAATTAGAGCCCAAGATAGGTTGGGTTATAATGGTAATGTTCAATTAAAGGTGCCATATGTAGTTGATTACGTAAGGGATTTAGAACGGGTTTTAATTTTTTATTTCCTTTTTTGAGGAAATGGATTTAAATCTAATTTTAGTACACTATTAATATAATACTGACGTATTTTTAGCCATAAATAAATATTTTATGGTGAATGGAAGTTGAGATGTGTAAATTTAAATTGACATATAAATTTGATTTAAAGCCTTAGTAAGTAATTATTATAAAGATGAGAAAATGCGATTATGTAGAATGTGATCAAGTTAAATGATATATTTTTTTTTTTTTTAAAAATGGTCAAGTTTGTATATGTATATAATTTTTAAGTGTTTTTGCATGGTTTGAAATGGTTTGTTCAAAGATTTTTTAAAAAACACTTTTTTTTTTTTAAAAAGGAATTTTTTTTAAGAGTATTAAAATCAAAAACAGATGTTGATGATGGTTGACACCAAGATTATTATGTACAAATGAGGGGTATGCATACTCGATTTTCTATTTTTAGAATGTTCTTATGTAGTACCTACATAGCAAACTATTAACCAATTGACGAATGCATGTACTATGATTTTAAAGGGATGTATTGTAGTTTTCTATGCACAGAAACATTAAAAGTGGCGGCAGTGAGAAGTGAAAGAGTGTGATGAAAAGCATTAAAATGTGCAGCGTTTCATTTCTTTCTCAGAATTTGCTTTGTTTGATGTGCTTCTAAATTTCCATTAGTGTTGCTCTCTCTTTCAAATTCTCTGATTTTTTTTTTCTCTGAAAGTGTATCAATGGCCAACAATGGTGAGATTGATGGTTTGAAAGCGCAACTTGCAGCCGTGTATGCTGAATTGGATGATATCAGAGCAAGTCAAGAGGCTAAGGCACAAGAAATGGCAAACATTCGAGCAGCATATGATGCAAAGCTAGAAGAAGTGAAGGTTTTACAGGGTCAGATAAGGCAACTTCGAGAGCAGCGAATTGCTGATCTTTATGGGAGAATTGTTGAAAATCTGAGAAGGGATTGGGTAGTCTACGACGGGATTTTATCACCGTTGAAAATGTACAACCAATTGAGAGGGTAATTGAAGAAGATTGGGGTAATGTTGTTGGTGTGAATGTTGTTGTTGGAGGAGGTAATGTAGAAGGTAGGGATGATGGTTGTTTCGGGGTCTTCTGTGTCCCTCGGGAGAGTTACAACACCAAGACTGGATTCCGGGCGCCTGTACCTGCAAAACAACGTAGACTCCGGTTGGGTGGAGTTCCGCCTCCGACGATCAAGTTAGAACGTGTTCGGAAGATGTAAAAAGTGCGGAAAAAAAGGTGGGATCCTCTCGGATTCCGAGGTTAGGTATATTCTCGGTTGTGAGAATTAATTATCTGCAACCATTGACTGCTCTGGTTTTTTGTGAATAATGAATGTGTTGATCCCCCCTTCCCTAGGTGGGATATATCTCCCTTTTATAGGGACTTGGGATTCGTGCCACTATCTTAGGTTACGAAAACCTAGGAGTAATGTGCTGTCTTGGAAATTGGGCTTTGAAGGTTGTCGTTGTTCCCTTGCTGACTTCTAATGCCACGTGTCAACTGGGGACTACTGGACTAGTTCATGTAAAACCTCTCCTAGGGTGACACGTGTCACCTTCTGATTGGGCCACATGGCCAGGGTATTTTTACCCAAAACATTTTCCCCTCACAGGGGTGACATAGCGTGCCACATGACGCTTGTGACACTTCTCAAATAGGCATTGGTGAACGGTTTTAACCATTCATCCTCTGAGGAAATTACATGGATACCCCTGATTTTAACTCTTCTATAAATAGCATTTTCACCCCCCATTTTCGCACATTCAAGAAAATTTTCAGACAAAGAATCTTTACCTTTGAGAGGATTTACTTATCACCGTTTGAGTTCAATCCGTTTGCTTTTTTCGTTTGAAACAGGAAGCACCTGAACCGCCTGGGTAGTTTCTAGCGTTGCCTCCCCTTTTTCAGCTAGGTACAACCGGTCATCCGTCTGTGCTCCTATCAAATAGAACTTCCAAGAACTGCCTGGGTACTTTTCCAGCAAATTCTCTTGCTTTCTAAGTGGGTACATCCGGTCAACAGTCTGTGCATCTTATAAGTAGCTGATTGATTTCTGCCTGCCTGTTGCAGCCAGTCAACGCTTTACCTCACTTTCAAAAACATCTTCGAGGTACCGTCTCTCCTCTTCGCAGCTCTTTCGAGCTTTTTACCGTCTGTATATATTGCATTGTATAATGGATTTACCCACCACACACACGACATAGTCTAGGACAGTAGTCAGCCGATCTCTTAGTAGGGCTGAGTCTAGGACTGGGGGTGCCGCCTGGGGGTGTTTAGACCACACTTGCTCTTCCTTGAATCCGACCGTCTCTGTGCATGTGCAGGACAATATGGCTCGGACGAAGCGGACGACACTTGACCCAGATTATAGATCAGACGGCTCAGCTGAGGCGCTGGCTGACAGAGAATATGACTATCCTCCGGGTGCACCCAGCACTCCGAGTGACAATATTTTGGAGGACTCTAATCAAGGAGACGGCGTTAAGACCGTCCAACGATCTGACTTAGAGGAGTTAACCTCACAGCAGGCGGATGCCGTTAGTGAGGAGGATGAGGCGTACAAGGGGCCGTCTATATCCAACCCAACTGAAGCGCACATGTCCGCTAGGGATATAGCCACCCTTACAACAAGCTTCCCCGCCTTTGTAGAAAAATTCCCAGTGGGGGATAGGTGGGAAATAATTGTACCGCCTGTTGAGGCGACAGTCGTCTGGGATGACGATATTGAACATGCTGATAATTATTTCGGCTGTTATGAGGCGGCATTCAAAGCCGGCCTCCGGTTCCCCCTACATGACGCAATCAAAGCCATCTTAAGGGGCTATGATCTTGGAGTATGGAAACTCACCCCCAATTCTTGGGTGAACATCATTAGCTATATCGCCGCCTGCGAGATACAGGACATAACGCCCAGCTGGGAGGCGTTTTCACATATGCATTACTTAAGCGTGCCCCAGGCGACTGGAAGGCGTGGTACACTTTAACCACACATCCAGAGTACATGATGACACTAGACAAACCGTCTAAGTGGAGCAACTGGAAAAGCAAGTTCTACTTGATTTCCTCCCCATCCAAACGTCTAAACCGTTTGCTCCGCTAGTACAATAAGGAGCCGGCTCTCTTGGGGAAAAAATGTGCCCTTTTGCGTGTCCTTGAGGAGGCTTTGGCACAAATAATAGAGCCGGGGTTTTTCAAGAGGACCACCATGCCTCTGGATGATGGCACTGAAATAATTGTACCCAAGAACTGGGTACCCCATCCGGATTGGCTTAAGGATGAGGCTTTCCTCTTCGCCTGTGGTCTTAGTACCTTTTTTAGTAGACGTACTTTGACCGCTTA